AAATGTAGATTTCATTTTTCTTTATGGCCCCAAGTGGGAGAATTGAGGTCACTGAGGCATGACTAAGTACACAGATTTTGGCTGCTTGTAAGGAACAGCTTTCTTCCCATAAAGAGAAGTACCTAAGTGGGAACAGAATACTCTGTGTTTAAGCAAAGGTTGTTATATCACAAAGTGGGGTTGTATTTAGAATTGAAGCATTGAATCTTCCTAACCCAGAGATTTTACTCTATCCTAAGCTATCAAACCAATGATTATTTAACCAGATATTGTTAGGAATTGTGATATAACCCCAATTCTATTCCCCTTCTTGACTCCCCTATTTTTTTAACAAAGATACATGTTATGAATGTACCTTTGATAAAAGTATGTATCTATATCTACATATATTTATAAATAAATGTCTTTTTTTTTTACTTCTTTTCTAAATCATATTCAATTAAAATCAAAGTCATGATCCTTTTTCTTTAAAACGTATGTCTCATATTCATTATTTTTAACTTCTTTTCGTTGCTGGAGCTGCCACATTTTCCCAGATTCTAATCTGCTCAAATCCAAACCAGATAGATAGCCTAGTAACAAGAGCCCTTGCTACGAGTATTCTCATTTCTATATTTCCTTAGATACTGTACCATACCAAGAATACATTCCTCAAATAATAATTTTATTTCACCTTTTACCTCTTTCCCTTTTTAAAATTTCCTTTGACTACAGAATTGGTACAAACTTCCAATTTAAAAATTCACAAATTCCCATAACTTAATTTTTATTATTTACCGAATTTTGTCATTCTCAATGTGACCTTTCTGGTATGGGGTCTGATACCGTTCTTTTCTAGGGACATTGAGACTTGATTATTTGTGTGTACTTCATTCCCCAATTTTAACTCCCATCTCTGAACTTCTATTTCCTTCATTCAGTATCCTGGAAGGTCTAGCTTACTTTCTTCCTGGTGTACTTCCTTACCTCTCTTGCCCAAGTTAAACATCCATTTCTGTCTTACTTTTTAGTAAGCACTGTAGTTACATATTTATGTACATATGTGTTGAATAAGCTGGTAGCACTCAATTTACAGTGTTTGAGAGAAGCTCCAGATTTATAATATATCCCTGTTCATTTTTTGTTTTTTACCAATAATATGGTTTAATTGTGCATATGTAATCACAATTCTACAATAACACATACTTCCTACAACATTAGACCCTGAGAAAACATGTGGCAATTCTCTGTCAATTTGGAAAGGAAGCATTCACCTATGAAAGAAAATGCTTCCATCAGGTACTTTAAGGTTGAAGAGGCAGAGGACAAGCTATCCACAAGGAATTTGGAAGAGAAGCTTGTTTCGAAGTTGGATGAGCCATGGTAAAATCTCAAACAGTTTGTTATTTTTAGCTCTGCCAAGAAATAGCTAATTTCATGCAAGAATTATCTTGCATCTGACCCAGAGCAAAGACTCCCTGGCCGTTCTTTGTATATGTTGATGCAACGGGAGAATTGTTTCATGCTTTAAAAACCAAGCGAGGAAGAACTTGAGAAAAAGAAAAGAGAGTTGTAGGGTACTAAACAATTTTGCTTTTCTTTCTGGCAGACTTATTTGTAACTGAAAAAGAAAAGACTGTCAAGATATTTGGTAACTAGGAAGAACTGAAGTGGCTATTTCCCCCCCACATTTTTATAAACCTCTTTTTCTAGGTCAGGTTCCGTTAGGAAACTGACTAACTAGCAGGTGGTAGTTAGTTCTTTCTTTCTCTGCTGATGACATTCAACAAAACAATCCCGTCATTTATCCTTTTATGTATACATATTTAAAAAATCAATGTTTGCAATTTTGATTGCCTTCTCCACAATATTCTTGTGACTTGTGAGAATAAGATGAAGCATTAAAAATAGGTCATTTAGAGAGCAGGCATAGGGAATGGAGAAGTGTAGGAAATCAACTGTTTCATTACCCCAGTCCCTTTCCCAAGACTGCTTTCTAAAATGCTGTCTTTTATTTTCAAATTCATTTTTCTTCATATTCAGTTCACCTTAGCTGGTAAGAAAGGCTTTGATCAGTATTTTATTGGTATTACTCATATGAATACTCCTTTGTATTATATAGAGGGTATAAGCTACACATATCTCCTGACCTCACCCTGCCTCTTGTCCTTGCCTGCTGGTTATGAAATTATATTTAAAATGTACATCTGTTTCTTCCTTAATACCAAAGATTAAATAGCAGCATGAAGCCTCCTCATTTTCTTTTTTTATGTTGGAAATTGAGATTTTCTTGTAATCAGCAAGCAAAATAAAAACAAAAACAAGACATGACAGGAAAAAAACGGTATATAAGTAGACTAAATGACTTCCTGTTGGGGAGGTGTTTGCGTGGGGGTGCCCATAATCAAAATCATCAATCCTACTCAAGCATGACGCTGGCATAAAACACTACCAAATGAAGACATCCTGTTATTCCTGCATAAAAGGTAACTATTTGGGAAAAGATAACATATTAAGCTCATATAACTGTCACTGTGAGAAAATTTGTCATAATTTTTCAGCAGTCAGTTGGAGGAAAGGAGACTGAGAGAGAACAGGAACTTGCCTGGAAAAAAACCATAATACAATCTGAGTACAATGTGTACAGTGTGGGTGAGCTCTGACATTAAAGATCATAGAGTCATAGAAACTTGAAGTTGGTTAAGTAAAGAAGGTCTGGTCAGATGGGCTTGGTCAGATTTGTATATCTAAATATAGAAAAGGTACAGTAATAATATGGTATTGTAATTTCATGGGACCACAGTCGTATATGTGGTATGTCATTGACTGAAATGTTGTTATGGAGTGCATGACTGTCTATCGGTGTATTGCTCTTCTTATAGCAGAGGTCTCCTTTTTTCCATTCTCATAGGGTGACATGCCCTTTAATCTCTTCCTTTTAAAATTCTCTCTCAACATATACACTCTTTAAATTTCTCATTCCAAGACTTTGTTCTCTTCCATCCGCACATGACCTGCATTTATGTATAGGCACTATTTAAATTCTCTTCTCCACGTTTCTCATGTTTCTCTTCTTATCTCCAGTTGGTATAGCCTATGAATGTTTTGCAAAAAAAAAAAAAACAATTTTTTTTGAGTCAGGGTTTCACTCTATCACCCAGGCTGGAGTCCACTGACAGCATCCTAGCTTACTGCAGCCTTGAACTCCTGTGTTCAAGTGATCCTCCAGCCTCAGCCCCCCAGGTAGCTGGGTCTACAGGTGAGCACTATCATGCCCAGATATTTTTGTATTTTTTGTAAAGGCGAGGTCTCAATATGTTGCCCAGGTTGGTCTCAAACTCCTGGCTTCAAGGGATCCTCTTGCCTCAGCCTCCCAGAGTGCTGGGACTGTAGTCATGAGCCACTGTGCTTGGCCTGCAAATTTTTTTTTTTTTTTTTTTTTTGAGACGGAGTCTCACTCTGTCGCCCAGGCTGGAGTGCAGTGGCTCAATCTCAGCTCACTGCAAGCTCCGCCTTCTGGGTTCACACCATTCTCCTGCCTCAGCCTCCCAAGTAGCTGGGACTATAGGTACCTGCCACCATGTCCAGCTAATTTTTTGTATTTTTAGGAGAGATGGGGTTTCACCGTGTTAACCAGGATGGTCTCGCTCTCCTGACCTCATGATCTGCCCGCCTCGGTCTCCCAAAGTGCTAGGATTACAGGTGTGAGCCACCACGTCCAGCCTGGCCTGCAGTTTTTAAAATAAATTGGAACTCTTTCTTGTATTGAAACTGTTGCTCACCCTATAGAAACATGGAAATCGCAACTTTTTTTTTTCGTGTGTGTGTGTGATTCTCTATTTTGTCCTTTGTTTGTCTGTAGTCTTTTTCTTCTGTTGTTCTCTGAATGTTGTTCCTTAGGGTTCAATTGTCATCTCAGTGCTCTTCTTATCCTATATAATCTCCCTTTATGGTTTAATATCTCAGGTATTACTCAATTGTCAATGTTGTCAAACCTGTGATCATTTATATTCGATCATCTAATAAACATCTGCTTATTCCATAGATGTCTTAAATTTTCCATTTTCAAAATTAATTCTTTCTTTCCCTGAAATAGATAGTTCTATAATATTTTCTATGCCAGTTGTTGAGGCTTTCACTCAGTAATTAAAGCTAGCACACTGGCAGTTATTCTTGACTCCTCCATCTTTTGCACAGCTCGTATTTCTGTAATTATCAACGACCACTAAATTAACTCATCAGTGGTTCTTAGTCCCCCTTGCTAACTCAAATCACCTGGAGAGATTTAAAAATATGCTAGATCAATTAAAACAGAATCTCTGGGAGTAAGGCCCTTGAATTCGTTATTCTAACGTGCAGAGAGGAATGGAAATCACTTTTCTCAAATGTCACTTTTTTACCTCTGCCCCATTTCAGGTCCTCATTGTCACTTAATGGGTATCTCCTATATGTGGCCACTCTGCCTTCAGTCATACCCCATCTAATCCATTATCAACCTGGCCATTAGGGTAAACATTCTCAAATAGAAATGTTATAAAATCATTTCCCTCGTCTCTCCTGTTTCTATTATATACACACTCCCCTGGCTTAAAATCCTTCAATAACTTCCCCTGAAAAAAAAAAAAAAACAAAACTCAAATCCTAACTCTTTAATTGGGCACATGAAGCTGTATTTTCACTTACGCACCACTTGCCACTTTTTGCCTTTTGTTTACTGTTCTCTGCTCCCCACAAAATGGAATTTTTTCCTATTCTCTCTTCTTTTTTTTTTTTTAAACAGAGTTTCACTCATGTTACCCAGGCTGGAGTGCAATGGTGTGATCTCGGCTCACTGAAACCTCCGCCCCCCGAGTTCAAGTGATTCTCCTGCCTCAGCCTCCTGACTAGCTGGGATTACAGGCACCCACCACCATGCCCAGCTAATTTTTGTATTTTTAGTAGAGACGGGGTTTCGCCATGTTGGCCAGGTGGTCTCAAACTCCTGACCTCAGGTGATTCACCCACCTCAGTCTTCCAAAGTGCTGGGATTACAGGCTTGAGCCACCACACCTGGCCTCTTTTCTCTCTTCATACACAGCTTTCTTTCTTTTATGCCCTTGTTCATGAGCTCTCCTCCGACAAGAATGATCCTCCTGTGATTAACTATTAATCCTATTTATTGTATATGTCTTAGTTTAGTAATTACTTTCTCCAAGCTGGGTGAGTGCCTTTCCTCAGTTCTCATAATGACCTCTGCCTATAGAAATTACTGCTTGTACCACCTGAGTTTATAATAATCTCTTTATGTTCCTTTCTCTTTGGAAACAATGACTGGTTCATAATCATCTTTGTATATCCTGATGTCCAGCATAATGCTTGGAATATACTAGATACTTTAAAAAAGGCGTACTAAATAGATGATTGAATAAGAAATTAAAAATTTTATCAGAAATTATAGCTGATAACATAAAGATAGGTGCCTAATAAGTTTTGTCCCCTAAAACAAACAAGATAATTAAAATAGAAAAAGATCATTTCCTTTACGCTGAGAATAGGAACTTGAAAACCAATAGGGAAGACTTTCTGTAGATTTGCAATATATTAGATCTCTATTGGCATTGTTAGTTACTTCTGTAGGTCATTGTCTTCTGATTTCTATATTTGTTTTGGATCTTTACACTCTTAATTTGGCTTCTTGAGTAGAAAAATGAACATATAACTGGTCTATGTTAATTTTATTCTGATTAGCAGATACTTTTCATGTAATTACATGGTTTTTACACTGTAAAATAATGTATGAATTTAGGTTTATTACTTATAACTTTCAGGGTTCAATCACTCTACATAAATTTGCCAATGTCCAGATCTGGCAAACTGAATGATGTGATCAATACTAAGATCCCCTTCTGCCTTAAAATTTCTGAATTGATATTTTTAATTAAAAAATACAAATAAAAATTCAAGGTTGTATTTATTTGGTATTAATCAAAAATGCATGGGGACTGTAGAGACATCGTTTTAACAAATTCTAATTTTACATTCTTCACAAAAATCTTTAGGGAAAATAAAATTGTCCATATTTTTTTGAATCATGGCTTCTTAGGGAAACACAGAAAATGTGAGAAGGGCATGAAAAAAATATAGAACTGAGACAAAATAACAGGTTTACTCCAAGTTTACAAGTAGCAATATTTAATGCTTTGATATAATTCCTCTTTATTACAAAGAACAACTATCAAATAAATCACTGTGTGGAAAAGAATTGATTTGGGAATCAACTGGGAAAGAAAATCACAAAGAAGTGATTGTGAAGACATTCATTTCTTCTTCAGATATGTAACTGTTTAATCTGAAATAAACTTTACGATGGAAAACTATTAGGAAAGTTTCTTGCTTAATTTTGCCGTTCTACACTCTGATATTGATTGTTCAGGATTATTGAGCACACATGCTGTCATAAGAATTGTATATAATTTACTATATATACTCACATATGATAGACATTAAAGGATATATGTGTCTAGTAATAGCAGATGCATGTTTCTGCCCACTAAAGAAATGGTTACAGCTTTTAATAAATATGGCTAAGGGAATGATGTTAAGATTATGCGTGTGTATGCACATATTTGTTTGGATTTCAACTGAGTATACAAAATTATTATCTTACACCACTTGCATTGGGATCTTCAGTTTTTCCTTCAACAAGTGAATTACTAATCACATATTTAATTTTAGAGTATTATTGTGGTAGGACTCGCCAGTTTCTTACTACAACATCTACTCATCCCTTTCTCTTTAGAAACAAACCGGAGTTTTTATATTGCTTCCCATAATAAAAAACATATTGCCTTCCAGATTTTGCAGCTAAATTTGGCTATGGGACTAAATTCTGGCCTTGAGCTCTTTAAGAGAGATACTTGTGAGAGTTCTCTGAAGATTGGTTAAAGGAAACTAACTCAGATGGAAGGTCCATTTGCCCACCTGACCTTCCTCTTAGGTTTTAGCCTGAAAATCAGTGGTGATGGCTGGAGAGCCAATAGCTATCTTGGAACATGACGTGATTCTGAAGGTGGGAAGCAAGGCTGGCATGGTACAGAAAAAAGGTGGGAACTTGGGTCCTTGAGAAAATTGTGGAGCCACCATATCTAGCTGTAATTCCTACTTTCAGACTTATTTCTATGTGTGAGAGATTTATCTTAAGTCATTGTTATTTTTGTTGTTAATATTGTTGTTGTTAAGCTAGCATTCTAGCTGAGCCCAAGCTAGGACTCAGAGTCTGGTTGTATCTGACAGCCCCTGGATCAGCATCCCTCAATGCCAACTATTGAATGTAATGGCTTAATGGTGAATGGAATCTATTTCATGTAACAAAGAACAACTTGTTATGACCAAATATGACGAGGTCATATTGCTCTTATTTCTCTCTAACTTGAGATTTGGGTCCATGTTCTCTATAAGGACTTAGAAATTGATGCTATGGTATTCTGGTTTTGTGTTAGGATGGTCACTGTAAATCTACTTAATAGTAAAAATAAAATCTTGCTTGGAATTGTGAATTAAATGAATTCTCCATTGTGCAGAAACAGGAACAGCATTATATTTTGTATGTAATACTCTTAAACAGTCAATTCATTTATTCGATTAATATTTTTGAGCTATTATGGATTACATAAGTTATGGAGGGGCTTTGTTATTTAGTCAATTCATGTCCAGTATCACAGGGGCCAGTTCTGAATTTGGAGGAAAGAGAAGAAAAGAAAAATTAAAGCAAATGACAAAAGTCTAAATATTTTCCTCAAATAATTATCTTTTTTTTCTTAATTTCTTGTGTTTACAGACTGGAATTTAAGCTGCATTTTTCTAGATGGCACCAGCCTATTGGTACATATATTAATGTCAAACAGTAATGCTCAAATCACATGGGTTCACAGTTGTCTCTACATAATTTATTAAGTATTCTTGCCACAAAGTCTCCCCCTCTTTTCTGGGAGACCTGGGGGAAGGGTCTCACATGTCCTTATGACCAGTTTGCTCACATTACTCATTTACTAGCCACCCTCGTGCTTACAAGATCCTTCATGTAGGAGCTCCACCATTCTGTCTCATGTCAGGATCTTCCAATAGGACACTGCTGTCCTGTAACAAGGCCATATACATGTTCTTTCTAGGTTACAATTTCCCACACTGCTAAATGATGTTGCATTTACTTTAAACTGTACCCTACTGGGGACTGACTTATTCTATAGAAATGAGGTGACTATTTCCCTAGCAACTCTGTCAGCCTGAAGTACTACTGCTTATGTCCTGAGTTTTATACAGTCTCTTATGGAAACATTTCTTTGTGTCCTTATGTATAGTCCTGAAGCACGCATCTTTCATTGTGCTTTATCTCTTGTGTCTCTGTTGGAGGCACCCGGGGTATGAAGTTTTATCCCAGCAGTTATTTATTCCCTGTGCACATTTACTTTTTCTAATAATTGGCAGGGAGGACTTCTACTGCCCCATCAGTTTATCAGACAAAACCAAACTCTGAATCCGAGTTTGAGCTCAACTGGGAACCCTGCTACACCAGAACTTAACTTGGATTCCAGATTGCTTGATAAAATAGCTAGCTGACAATAAGCTATAATTTCTTGACTACACACACACACACACGTACATACACGTACATATGTACATACAGCAGTTCCCCTCATCCACAGGATATGCCCAAACCCACAGTGCATGCTTGAAATCTCAGAAAATACTGAACCCTATATATACTATGAGTATTCTAATACATATATAGCTATGATAAGTTTAATTTATGAATAGTCACAGTAAGAGATTAATAGCAATAACTATTAATACAATAATAATATGCTACAATAAAAGTTATATAAATGTGGTATTTTTCTCTTTCTCAAAATATCTTATTGTACTATACTCACCTATTTTCAAACCCTGCTTGTCCACAGGTAACTAGAACCAAGGAAAGTGAGATGGCAAATAAGTGGTGAGGAATGCTACCATATCTCACATACATATATTTCAAAATATGTCAAACTATACACCTAAAAACTTATAATTTATATCAACATGATATGCTTGATACCATAGGCAATGCCATTTTCTCATTAAGTCATTTCTTTCAGTTGCAAAACACTATATAAAAGGAGTGGCATATGCTATAACATGTATTTTGGGTATTTTACATTTACCCAGATATGAATATAAGTGATATACTTAGTTATAATGTTCCCTTAAGCCACTGTTTTGCTACATGCTTCTATACATTGATTCTTCTAAAATTTATTTTAAAGGTAACACAGTTTTTTTCTTTTACAGTCTCCCCTTAGTAAATGTAGCTACTACGACTATGAGTAAAAGAGACATGGATGGGTGGAGGAGATATGGAGAGGCCAGCACTTTTCTAGATAAATGCAATGTGAAAACAAGGAACTACTCTTTAATTACTGGCACAGAAATAATGACAAGGAAACAAAATTACTTCCTGAATCACACTTTATCACCTGACTGGTTGCAAAGGCACATTTTTTTTTTTTTTCTGTTTTCGTCAAATTAAAATCTTAACCATGTAAATTCAAGGCTGTAAAGGACAACTCAGGATCCTTCACAGTAATAATTACAGTATTAAAATTCTTATTTGCTAGAAAGTGGTTAGAACCATTGAGAAACATTTTATCAGGTTACGTGGTTAGAGAAAGATTTGAAAAAACAAAATCAAAAACAAAAAACTCATTGTAAAATATCAGAACACCTGAGATGTCCAAGCTGTAAAGTGTAATACACGCTATCAACTGTAGTGGAAAGAAAGTTCCAAAGTATGAAGTACAGAGCAATTTTTGGTAGCATGAGTGGTGGGATTGAAGTAAACTGAAATAAATGGAAGGCATTTGTTTAATCTACGATCTTGTTGAAAGACAAGTCCCAGCACAGTAGCTTTCTCTTTTAAAGACTAGCCAGATGTCGGCCTTCTTAAGAGCACAAAGAATGGAACCACAGAAAGAGATAACAACGCTGGTAGAGAACGGCAGCTACAGTAAGGTTGTTTTTAAATGGATAGAAATCTATATAAAGGTGACTCCGACAAAACATAACAGCTGTCTCCTCCTCAGTCATTTAGGCAGACACTTGCACTAAGTAAAAAGGTGCAAGGTATTTATCAGCAATTCCCATTATCTGGTACTTTTATTGCTCTGGCATGATTAGCAGAGACTACTTGGCCAGCGTTGGCAACTATTTGCTTTTTCGTCAGCCTGATGTTTGGTCTGCAACCCCTCTAAAACTAACAGCAAAAGAGAAACTCAGAAACTTAGGAAGTTTTAGTTGGCAGGCTGGTGTCACCCTTAACCTACTCTCTGTCAGCTATATTCCGCATTTTAGAAGCTCGCTGGCTGTTGCTCTTTTTGATAGCCAACAAGAAGCAACGTCATAGACCTGTTTGGCTGCTGTCCTGGGTAGAAGGGTTTGGCAGCCCTAGGGAGATGAATTTCTCCAGCGTTGGACCCGCCCAGAGCACAGAAGCAACACCCTTCCAGCCACTACTCTGTTGCTATGAAACAAAAGACTAGGAAGGTAAGCGAAGCAGGAAGTCCCGCCTTTCAGCCCCAGACGGCTTTGGCTCCCGTTCCCGACGCTCACGCCCACCTGCCACCCCTTATTGGTTAGCTCCTTCGTGCCTTGCATCCCTTCTTCCATTTCCTTTCCCGTTTCCACTTTCGTTCCCGGGCGAGTCCAGGCCCCTCATTTCTCTCCGAGTCCAATTCCTTTCTGACGTGCTGCGAGCGGGCCTTCCTCTGGGGCCATTGTGTACTGTGGAGGACGTGGACGGGGCGGCAGCGCGAGGAGGACGGACGCCTCCCGCCCATTGGCTGCACCCGCTGTCGGGCAGTGCGCGAGTGTGCGGCATTGGCCCAGCGGTGCGCGGCCCCGCCCCCGCCCCGCCCCGCCCCGAGCCTGGGTCCTGTATGTGCCACAGGGGTGGGGTGTCCAGCGAGCGGTCTCCTCCTCCTGCTAGTGCTGCTGCGGCGTCCCGCGGCCTCCCCGAGTCGGGCGGGAGGGGAGAGCGGGTGTGGATTTGTCTTGACGGTAATTGTTGCGTTTCCACGTCTCGGAGGCCTGCGCGCTGGGTTGCTCCTTCTTCGGGAGCGAGCTGTTTCAGCGATCCCACTCCCCGCCGGGGCTCCCCACACACACTGGGCTGCGTGCGTGTGGAGTGGGACCCGCGCACACGCGTGTCTCTGGACAGCTACGGCGCCGAAAGGCAAGGAGGGAAGGGGTCGCCGGGGAGGCTCCACACTTCTTACCGGCTCGGGGGTCCGGGGGTAGCCAGGCGCGGGCCAAGGAGGAAGAGGGGACAGCCCCGGCTCTCAGCTGCAGCTGCTGTTGCCGCCGCCGTCCAGTTTGAAGTGGGGCGTTTAAAGACCAGAACCCGCAGGCCGGGGAGGAGGAGACGGAGTCCAGGCAGACGGCGGTGGGGATTGCAGCAGGCGGCCGGGAGGCGCGTCCACCCAGGCGCCGAGCACACAAGTGTCCCTCCCGCGCCCGAGACGGACGGGGCTGCGGGCACGGGAGGGACACTTTGTCCCCTCCCCGTCCACCTTCCTCCCGCAGCTCAGAGCCGAGGGGCCAGGAAGGGGCTTGAGCGGGGAAGGGACACAGGCGTCCTGAAACAAAGCTTTGGGTGAGAGCAGAGGCGAGGAGCGAGAGAAGTGAACTCCTCCTTTCCGTGGCCGCTCTTGTCAGTGTCTCTCCGTCTCTTTTCAAATGGGCTATTTGTGTGTTATTTCATTTGGTTCTTGGGAATAACGACCCACCGCGTTGATTTAAAGAAATGTGTTCGTGTGTCCGCACTTGGTGGTTTTAGTGTGGGACATGTCGTGCGCCTTTGTTGACAACAGAGCTGTCCCTTACGTTTGTGTAGAATAATCTTTATGTTTATATAACTTGGAGAAATCTAACAGAGTGAAAGTGAAGTTTCTGCGTAAGGCTCCCAAAATGTATGATAGGAGCTTCAGTTGTTCTGGTATTTTGAATTGGAATTAAAGCAGGAGGGGAAGAACATTCTGTTTTTATCTAGGAAACCTGTTTAAGTTTTGTTTTATGAGTTGGGTATTAGTTCAGCCTTAGCTACTTGAAACGTGAGCAGGGTGCATCTTTAACTCTTAGTATTGTAAAAGCAAATCTAGGATCATTGCTCCTAAAACTACTGTGTTTAAAGATTGAGAGTGTAAATTCACAAGCTTATTGATGAAAATGAATGTGGAACTTTTGGTTTTGCTCTCACGGATGGAGGAAGATACAGTGGGTACAAGTTAGTCTCTTTAGTTTTCTGGTGGTAAGTATTTTCGAAATCAACTAACTTTTCTTTTTTTAAATCTGCCTTTTAAAGAACTAAAATTCCAGATGGCAAACTCAATGAATGGCAGAAACCCTGGTGGTCGAGGAGGAAATCCCCGAAAAGGTCGAATTTTGGGTATTATTGATGCTATTCAGGATGCAGTTGGACCCCCTAAGCAAGCTGCAGCAGATCGCAGGACCGTGGAGAAGACTTGGAAACTCATGGATAAAGTGGTAAGTTCTGTCTGACGTTGCCTGTGCAAAACACTATTCACTTTGTCTGTGGTTTCTCCAGATTTATTTATACAGTTAATTAATACCAACCATTGTTATGGCAACAGTCTTTTGATTTCAATTCATCATTTTTCTTACTTCAACTCTGTGTTTTTTGAAAAGTTGGATTCAAAGACTTTTTTTTTTTTAACCTTTTGTCCTTTCTACTCTTTAAGGTTCACAGTTCCTCTACATGACTCTGTATGCAGAATTTTACCATTGGCTGCTTTTTGTTGGTGTATGGCCATAGAATGTTTGGAAGTGTTTGTTCTGTCTTCTGTGAGGTTGTGTTGCTCTTAGATAACAAAAGAGTACAAGCAGGTTATTTAAGCCTTTGATGGACCACTCATGACAATCATCTGGTGTGATACTGAAAATATTTACTGGGGAAAGAAACAGATTAGTTCTTTTTTAAATTTTTTTCCTTTTTTTGTTACTTCGTCCACTGAAGTCTTGAACCCCTCAAAGTCATCCAGAAACAGATTAGTTCTTAAGTGTAGAGGCAGTATTTGAGGGAGTTTCCATTTTCATCTTTGAGAATTCATCTTCATTAAGAAACTTTTTTTGTTGTTAATGGGAGAGTTAACAGTTTCTTTCATCTACTATTCCATTTTGAAACAGGAAACCTTTCGATGGCACATTGTTTATTGTGAAAGGAAAATTTATGTTGGGGGTGGTGAAGCTGAGAGTATCAGAAACCTCTGTGGTTTCTGCATGTTGCTTTCAGACAAACTATAATTTCACAAGAAGAAATCAAGATGGGTGTCAGTATCCAGAGAAGTCAATCTGAATACCTTACAGAGATTTACTCAGAAACTATAGCTGTCAGTATCCTACTTTACTAAGTATGATTATAAAATAAATTTAAGATGTAACTTGCGGCTTTGCAAAAATTAATAATTCTTTTTTTTTTGAAGCAGTAGCACTGCCCTGTATTTATTCGTAAATGTTTGTAACACATTATGTCTTTATTTCGTAGATATCTGGGGCTAATTATAAGTTTAGTTGAAGCAAGACTTGGTATGTTTATAACTGAAGAAATGGAGGTTTTAAAAAAAAATTCCTTTATAGGGATGTGCCAAAGCATCCATGAAATCATATGGTAACATTCATCTTTGCTTTGATTTGCTCCTGTCTGCAAATATTGGCTATAAAAAGCCACTATCGGTAGTAGTAGTAGTAGCAATGTGACAAGATTTCCTTTATTTTCATTTATTCTGATGGAAAGGACACATAGATGAATGACTGGCCTGTCATTCTACAGGCAGTGGTGCTAAATGCAGAGCCAGAATATTTTTGCCAGATAAATAGCCTTAGTTTTGGGCTTCAGTGTGACCTATTTAAGCTTCTGCCAATTTATTCAAATTGTTATATTAAAGTGCTCCAGACAGAATGATGTCATAGTGTCAAAATATTGCAACTTGCTGCTTGGGGTTGAGTTTTGATTTTAGCATTGGATACTTTAGAATAAGGACTATTCAATTGGAAAAATAGCACATATTTGGCAAGCACAATGCTGCCTATCTTTTCTTTGCTAACGAGTGTGCATTTGAAGGTCACTCTCACTGCCTAAATCATTAGTTGGGGTAAGAGAAGGAATTCAAGGTTTTTCTCTAACTTACCTGCTACATAAGTGGACAGCAAATGGTTCAGATTCTATAAAGGGGCTGTTCTTTTTCCCCCACCCTCCATCTTTGAGTGGTCAGTGTTTGTACATTTGTGAGTATTAGGACATCAAATCAAAAAGATTTATATAAGGAAGTAGTGAGCTGTAGTTACTATAAAATCATTTTTGAAACATTAAAAATGATGTACACAACTTTGGTTTATAACTGGTTGTTAACATAAGTTTTATTCACTTTTAATTATTTCACCATGAGTTATGGTACAATAGATGGCTATTTGATAGTTAAACATCTGCTATTATTTATTTTATTAACCCTTTTGTGGGTTTAGGTTTAGTCTCTCCAATTGAGAAACTTGACTCAACAAGGAAATCTATTATCAAAAGTCTCTACTTAGTGGGATGTGGGTGCGGGTGTTGGCAAATGTACATTGCCTGTTTATCTTCATTATTTGTCAAAGATGAAAATGGTTGTGTTCATTTGTGAATGTACCCAGGGGCTTTGTGGAGAGAAATCACATAAATTATTATGAAAGAATTCAATATGTTTATTTTTACTCTAAGATACAGTAAATAGAAAGGCATTGATAATTACTAATTGGCAGTATATTTTATTTAAGTGTGTAGTGCAGAAACATCTTCCTCTTTTGTTTATCTTTTCTTATTTGTTAGTGGTGAAGGAAGTGGCTCATAATATCAACATTATCCTGATGATTACATCAGGGGCTTTATTATTAGTTCTGAAGTTAATCCCTTGACGCATTACCTTTTTAAAAAAAATAACTGCGATAGCATGAATTTAGTTTGTGGATAACAGAAAATAGCAACTTTCACGTCTAATTGGTAGGTATGTAAAAGGAGGAGTTAAGTGTATAGTTACTATTTTTTTCTTGTGATGCCTCTTTGCAAGGGTAGCTCTTGGAAGTAAAAATATGAACACAAACTTCAATTTCAGTTTGTTCCAGCCACCAATAAAGGAAGATAACTGTTTTTACAGGGAATAATGAAGCAGTCTTGGGTTGTAGGGTAATTATCTAATAGGTATGTAGTTTTACCATTTCTTGGCCTCTGGAATTTAAAATGGTCAATTGAAATTCTTTCCAATTAATGTTCTGTTTTCAGAGGGCAGGCTTTTTCTCTAAGGTCACTGAGAATAGGAGAACGTAATTGCTCAGTTGTCTCCTTATAAGATGTAGAGTGTTTTCTAACAGAAAATCAGTAGCACAGAGTTAGCACAGTCCATGTTTTGAGGAAAAGAATAGTAGATAGTAGCACATCCCAAAACGTCCCATTTAAACAGATTTTCTGGCCTTAGCTCTGTGTGTCAGTGTCATTTGCTAGCCGACCCGAAAGCCCTCACATCAGTGGATGCTTATTTGATACAGTGATGGAAGTAGTAATCATGAATACATATCTAGGGTCAGGTGTGCCCGGAATGAAATATGGAGTCTGTTCTGAAGCTACTCAAGAGACAAGGTTTCTTAAACACTTAATAAACATTTTTTGAGGGCTTCCTGTGTTTCCACTGAGTGCTTGTTACTGGGTATATGAAGCTAGACAAGACATAATCCCGCCTTTGACCTGTCAAGGAACTCAGAGAACACATAAATGGATAATTGCCATGTAGTATGGGAAGGGCTGTATTACAAACCCAAAGTACAGTGGGAACAGAATAGAGAACATCCTCCTTGTTTTTCTGGCCAGTGTTCAGACAGTTTTCTTTCTGGATTCTGCTGGCCATTGCCTTTTAGGAACAGCATTAGTGTGTTCTTGTTGGAAATGCTGAGGTGAGAGTAAGGAAGTGATTGCTAATCAGTATGGTTGGAATGATAATTTATTAATGTGAGGTTCCTGGGCATGGTTTTCACGAGAATCTTAGCCAGGTGATGGAAAATAGAAGAAACAATTTTCCATCTAATAGATACTAAATATACTGAGCATATGTGGGTGCTCCGGAAATTAGAAAATAATTAATTGATGCTAAATAGCAAAGCACGCTGAGTACCTGCCTCAAATTTTTGTCTTGCTGTCCTTGTCAATTTTTTTTAAATTGCATTACCGAAAGAATTTAAAAAGCACTTAGGAAGTGATGATGCCCATTAGGTTTTTTCTGCCTTTTGCCTTCAGTCTAGTTAGTACATTTTTCAAGCTTGAAATATAATTCATACTCTTTTTAATTTCATTGTGATAATAATATATTTTAAAGTTTGTCAATCTAGGATGCTTGGATGATATACAGATATTTTAAAGAACACAAGTAAACTTTCTTTTCTAAGCTGAGTTCCTCATACCTCTGAAAGATATTCCATGTGGAGTAAAAGAGGTTTTAGATGCCTGTTGTTTGTGTTTACTGATTTGGAGACTCTTACCTTCCTAGAGCCGTAAAACAGGGGATATCATTCATTTGAATTATACTTCTTGACCTATTTCCTTTTCCTCACTAAAGTTGTTCCACCTTAACAGAATCAATGGATCCTAGTAGACTTGGTTAGGGGATAATAACAAATCGTCTGGACAGTTTTGTTTAGTACTCAATTCAGTTTTGAATTTGTATTGTAGTAAGTGAAGTGATCGCAAAGTCTGGTACATGACTTCTAAGAAAAGCTTGATAAAGTAAAAGATTTAAAGGAATCCTACCAAGACTTACCTTGATTTGTCCCTGCGATATAAAGCAGTCACATAATACAGGCCTTAATCAGTTAGTAATCTTTTAACTATTAAAAAATGTTTAGCTTTCAGATTTTGAATCTATTTCTTTCTTCTTTTTAAAAGGTGCTTTTTGTGCTGTCTATTGATTTCATCATTCATTTATCAGATCTCAACTATGGAAAGATAGGCCTTTCCAAACAGCTATGCCATAGAGTAAAATGTAATAAGTGCTTTAAGGTGGTATAAATAAAGTGCTGCGATGTAGTACGTGGCGGAGGTGAACCGTTGCTTGCTAGATAGGCCTTTCCAAACAGCTATGCCATAGAGTAAAATGTAATAAGTGCTTTAAGGTGGTATAAATAAAGTGCTGCGATGTAGTACGTGGCGGAGGTGAACCATTGCTTGCTAAGGGTGAAAAGTTGGTGTAAAATGAAGCATGGAAGAGTACTGTCTCGTTCATGGGCGGGATTCCAGTGAGATGGAGGACATGTTAGGTTGAAGGAATGATAGATTGTTGAGTAAGAGAGGGGAAGTTAGGGGAAGATGATAGAGGTTTGGCTTTTGTCAAAGAATTTTGTGTTAATTTATTTGGTAGAAAACCATTGGAGGCTCTTAATCAGGGAGGGAAAACATCAGAGCTGTGCTTTGATAGAGTACTTACTTGACTCTGCAAAGCTTGGATTAAGAGAAAAAAACTGAAAGCAAGAGTAATGATCGAGGAATTAAAACAGTCTGGGCAAGAAATAATGAAATGCTGGCCTAGATAATTGGAAGTAGGTATAGCAAGTGTTGGTTCAGATGTGGGAGGCATTTTGGAGGTAAAATCTACAGGTGTTGGTGACCCCTTAGAGTTAGAGGACGAAAGAGAAGATGTAGTGAAAGTGACTCTTGAGGTTTTCAGCCTAGTTGACTTTGAAGGCAGTGATGCACTTAATGAGGTAAGGAACGTAAGAAGGAAAAGAGGAAGTGTGGGGGTTAGTTTTTGGCCGTGCTAAGTTCACCATGCCAGAGTGAATTTCATTTACAGTCAGAAAATTAAGTGTACAGTTCAAAAGAGAAGTAGAAACAAGAGACACATATTTGGTAGATATTCTCATAGAGGTAGCATTTCAAGCTATAGAACTGCCAGAGATTTCTGAGGAAGAGTGGAGGGAGCAATTCAGAGAAAAAGTCAGATAATTGAATTTTGGGGCGTTTGACGGGTGTAATTAAATACCAGAGAAGGGAAGAGAATCTACATAGATTAGTGATGAGAAAGGTAGAATTAAAATATAATGATTTCCTAGGTAGAAACAGCTTTAAGAAGAAGATAAAATCTGAAGTTCTGATAAAACTAAGTTCAAATTCAAGTGGAGAAAACCAGAAAGGGTGAAAAGTTGAAAAGTCATGGAATTGTATGATTAGAGGCCATTATTGACCTTTATAGAGCAGTTTAACTTTTGTGATGGGGCAAGATTAAAATGTGTATGTGGATTATTTAAAATGGTTCTAGAACGGTAACAATAATGAAAAGGAAGGGAGTTCTGTTATCTTGAGGATTTGAACATGATAGAAATAACTGGGTGTGTGTGTGGGTGTGTGTGTGTGTTTATGTGCACACACCATAGAAGAGATTCAAAGATTGGTGGGGAAAAAAAAAAGATTGATGGGAAAGGATGTAGTTAGGGAATGGCCTAAGATGCAAGAAGAAAGAAATAGAAGCAGTAACATTCTAGATTAAACTGTGGGAGGGAAAGACTAGGAACAAGTAGAAGGGTTAATCTTGGTGGATAAATGTAACTTCCACTTACAGAGGAGGAAAGCGAGGGAATATACAGAGAAGTTTTGAGGGCGTTTGTAAATTTTATATTGGGTTGTCGGGAAGTGATTTAAGGCGTAATATTTATAGTTTTAAATTTTTGTATCATGAAATACGCAATATATATATTTTAGTCTTCTAGCAATTAAGTGGGTAAATAAGTAAAAAATTAAAATGGAAATCAATTCTCATCTTTAATATTAAGTTCATCTTACTATCCACTTGCTGTGACTTAAAGGATACCACAGTGCTATTTTTATCTACTCTGGTTGGGCATATATTAATGCTATTCTTACCTTTTAACTAAGGTTTTTTTGTTTTTTGTTTTTAAATATTTGTAGGTTGCTAATTTTTTCTAGTAATGAAAGACACATTTTGAAAGTATCCAACAAATTTTGTAGGTTTTTAATATGATAACATTTAGATAATTGTTGAGCTTATATTATCTTATAGTATCAATGAAAAAAGTATTAATAGTTACAATATTCTACCTGTTAAAGGATTTTAAAAAATATTAAAGCCCTACATCTTTTCCTGAGAGCTTCTTGGGTTTGAAGAAACCAGAGGATTCCATGTCAGCTGACAGGAATACTGACCTGGGCTTAACCTTATTTCCTGCTTTTCTGCACAGAACATTCCAGACTTTTTAAGGGTTTTAGGCAGCATGAGTAACTTTATGAGCTAAATGAACTTTTAAAAATCATGATCCTCAACAAACTGCTCAGTGCCCTTGGTCTACTTTTCATACCTTTGCAAAATCTGCAGGGATTTTGCCTTGTGATGGAATGTAAAATATGGAAGGGAGAAGAAATATTAGGAAGGAGATAGGGCTAACTATGTTCTGGATACAGTGCATAGCACTTTACATTTACTCTTGTAAGAATTATAATATCCTAAGAGGTTTCCAGAAGAACAACCCTGCCCAAGGTTGTAAAGCTAGTAAATGTTAGGGCCAGATCCTAGGTTTGCTTGATTCTGATGTCTGTGTTCACAGTATGAAGAGTCAAGCACACTCCTCCATAGAATAATATGATGCTTCCTTTTTCCAAAGAAATAAATCAAAAGGGCATTCCCCTCCTCCACTCCCATATTTGATATTATCAAATTCTTCTCCAAATTTTGTACTCAGTTTTAGGCAGCTTTATTCAATATAGTTGTAGATATCCTATTTGTAATATAATTTTCCTGAGAGGTTCTTCCTTCCTTTGTTTGCTTCCTCCTCCTCTTCCTCCTTTCTGCCATCAAATATTTATTGCACGTCTATATGTTTACTGCAATATTTATTGCACGTCTTTCTGCCATCAAATATTTATTGCACGTATATGCAAAGTTCTATATTAGGTGATAGAGACAGACCAATGAGAAAGACTGTTCTTCACCTTTAAGGAAGTTCTATTCTCATTTGGAAGAAAGAGTGAACAGAATATACAATTGATATTTTAATTATAACTAGTCAGTTCTTTAATGCTGCTTCTTAATGTCAATCTTCTGGAGACATCTTCATGGAAAACCGTAAAGGACTTGGTAATTTTCTCTAAATTCAGCTGTAGTGGACTCATGATCAATTTTATATGCCAATTTTGTTTGCCCAATTAATATTCTATTAAAAAGGGTGTATGTTTTATACTTTTTTACACTTTATACATTTTTATACTTAATAAAATACATTTTTGTAATTTTTATATGTTGTAATTATTTGCTGCATTAAAATGGAAAGAACCCAAAGAACTCTTCGGTACCTTTTATTATAAAGAGATATATATATATATACGTGTATATATATATACACACACACACACACACACTTTTAGGTAACTGTAGTAAGTAACCTATTCTAACATTTACAGGAGGACAGGCCTTTTTGTTTTGAGATGGAGTCTCACTCTGTCGCCCAAGCTGGAGTGCAGTGGCATGATCTTGGCTCACTGCAAGCTCCATCTCCTGGGTTCACACCATTCTCCTGCCTCAGCCTCCCAAGTAGCTGGGACTACAGGCGCCTGCCTCCACACCCAGCTAATTTTGTTTTTGTATTTTTAGTAGAAACAGGGTTTCACCATGTTAGCCAGGATGTTCTCCATCTCCTGACCTCATGATCCGCTCGCCTTGGCCTCCCATAGTGCTGGGATCACAGTTGTGAGCCACCGCACCCAGCCCAGGGCTTTCTATGTTGTCTTTAAAAATGAGGTAGTTCACTTGAGAGTATATGACTTGATTCAGTGTAACTGAATACTTCATGAAGTGAGGTGTGCTTTATAATGAAAGTCTTATAGTATAGGCACAATTCCTTACTGTTGAAATTTTCATTGTATTTGGTAAAGTTCTTCCCTATGTTTCACAGGCTGGTTTGAACCTTGTTTGCAAGGAGTGTACTATCTTATCTAATACATTTTTCTTACCTTTTGGCTGGAAGTTTTAGCTAAGGCACAGTCAAAAACTCTTTAAATGCGAGATTATTCCAAGACTAAGTAATGACTTTGAACATTCCTATAGCATTAGTGAATCCTGCTTTTGTATTTGTGCTTTTGCTTTGATATGGTTGAATATATGTATTTAAATACATATTTATATATTGGAATGCATAGCCAATTTATTAATAATATATTTTTATCTATGTGAAACAATGCAGACTACATGTACAGAGAGAGTCTCCTTAAACATTTCTAATACATTTAAGCAAATATAAAAGTCAGTTGTATATTGGTATGGAGACAGTTCCTGATTCTCAAGACCAGCTGTCAGGGTTCTGAGCAGTAACCTTAGTTAGGTTCTAGTTCTGTATTTCAGTGTTGACATGTCAAAAGGAATTGGTACTGGTGATTTCCAAATTTTTTGAGTCAATGACTATAGTGGAATTTTCAGCCTAATTCCAATAATAAATGTTTTGCCTTTTAGTTCAAATGAAAAGAGCAATATTGCTATCGAACCAATTCTTTTATGCACCAATCGGTGCCCTAAAAAGTTCATCATTTTATAATGTGACTACAGATTTGTTCTATATCAAAGCTCTTCTGTATTAGTACCAACCTTCATTCTAGGAAGCAATTTAGCTATTTCTAGAGGAGGTGTAACCATTTGAATCTGAACTTGACCCTTGTGGTGAGCTTGATTTTCTCTCTAATATACTGCTTTTAGAAAAGCAAATTTTCTTTCCTGGCTTTTGCAACTCCTTGCACATAGCAGGTACTTAATAAATATTTATTGAATGGAATTGAATTTGACCTGCTTAGAAGTCATAGTCCTGATGTAGGGTTATTCATTTTTGGCAGAAGCTGTCATAAATCACAGGGTTTAATAGTAATCCAACTGATGAACTGTGCACTCAGCGGCATACCGTAGTTCAGCATTGTATATTGCACTTTCCCAAGTGCAAATTTAGACAACAGTTTAGCCTACAGGGCCTTGATGAGCTGACTCTGGCCTATTTCACATCTCTCGTACTACTCACTCACAGCCTTCCTTCCTATGCTCCGACCTTTTAGAATAGCTGCGTGTACTCCTCTCTTAACATGCTTGCTCTCTGGTGTCTCTTAAGCCTTTGCACACTCCTTTGCCTAGAATACTCCTTTTGACAAAGTTAAGTATGTGTTTCCTGACAGTCTATGTAGAAATGAGTGAGCTGCTGCTTTTCTCCTGTAGCAGTTTGTACTTGCCTCCATTATAGCACTAAATTCTCCTGTAATTCTTTTCCTAAGCCACCAGTCTTTCCCACTAGACAGCTGCTTGAGGGCAGGTGTGTGATTTATTACTTTCTCTGTTCCCTAGAGCCTGAAACAATGCCTGCCACATAAATGTTTGTTGAATTAACAAATGGGTCCTGAACTTTATGTAAATTTGCAAATGGAATAAAATAAAAATGTAAATGAGTTTAGCAGGGATCATTAATTATATGCCTAATTTTAATTAAATTGTGATATAGTTAGATCAGCCCGAGATTCAGAAGATGCAAGCTCTTGTATTGGATTAATGATATTTTAATGGTCCCTTAATCTTTCTAGTTCTTAGTTTTTTTTTAAATCTGGAAATGAATGGATTGGATGGAATCTTTACTACGATCCCTTAGAGCAAGAATTACATTGCTCTTAAGTTAATTATAGAGAACTACGTCTCTTCTGCCAGACTCTTTGCATCTCTTTGAATCAGGAAGTATGTTCTAGTCATCTATAATTTCCTAGCACTAAGCTCAGTACCTGGCATATAGTAGTTCAAACAATTTCCACCTGATAAAGCGATAAATTCCCACATGGAATTACAGTTTT